ATTATTAAACCCAAAAAATTAAAAATGATAAATATGAGTTTGTTATAGTTTAGATCAATTGTATGTAAAATTAACTAATAATGAAACTAATCAAAATAATTAAATGCCTATAATAAAAGGCTCAAAACATTGAACAAAGTGTAATAAAGAAAAATGCATCCGACTGAGATAACTGATTAAGCAATTAGTTTGCATGATAAAAGAAAATTTTGTTCCATAAATCATTATCTAAGGACTCAAAATATTCAAAATTTCTCAATTATGCCACTATCAAATATTAAATTATAATCTAAATACAAATAAATTTTTCTTTGAAAAGCCAATGGAAACCAATTTATTTAAAAAGTTCAAGGGATACTCAACCCATAGACATAAAGAAGTTTTGTTAGTGAAGCTAACACCAACTGATTAAAATTTGTTCTAGTGTTTTGTTATCAAGCACCTACTTGGGTTTTGGCACCAATAAAGGAAAGAATAAGGCCAACCTTAAATTTCCACTTATCCAAAAATAGGAATGATTTTGAATCATCTTGATCACACAGTCCTCAGTCATCTTGCCTTCACCGAAAATTATAGCATTCCTTGCTAACCAAAGTGACCAAATAATTGCATACTAGACAATATACCATCCTTTTTTGTTCTTTGCTGCCCATGTGTGTTGGGTGAACACAGCCCTACAATTGTTGTGCAGAACATATTGGATGCCCCACCATTCAAAGCACTGGGTCTAGATTTTATAGGAGAATTCACGCTACAAAACTAAGTGATTTGCGTCTTCAACTACATTCCCACGGAACACACACCTTGCATCCAGGGCATCTTTGATGACTGATGAGCTAAATTTATATACATGTTAATGTGAAATTGTTGTCTTAATATTGTTGATATTTGGATGAGTTTTATAAGATTTTACTTGATTTTACATAATTTTTATTATTTGTGTAGGAAAAGATTTAATTGGAAGAAATCATAATTTTTAAGAGCAAATTGCAAAGATCAGAAACTTAAGGATCAAATTGTGCAGAATCCAGAAGTCAGGGACCAGGACTGTCATTTTACCATTACAGAAATTGCTAAGAAGGCTAAAACCCCGACACGGGGGTTGTGCGCTGAACAGAAAGTGTCGGCACCTTGTTGAATGTGTTGACCCTTACGCACAAAATCCATGTTTAATTGGTTATTATGGGTGTAGATCTCATTTCTATTCCAATTAGGGTTTCTAAAATCCTATAAATACCCATCCAAATTCAAAATTGAGAGAGCTTTGGGAGGTTAGTAGTAGCCCTATTTTGGGCATTCTTGGAGATCAAGATAGAGGATTCATTAACAATAAAAGATCAAAATTTTCAATTATTTCAAATTAGGTTTTGTTTTTTCTTAAATATTCTTATGTTCATAACTGCGATTTCAGATTTTATTATTTTTATTATAAACTAATTTATTTTATTAAGGTTATGATGTAGTCTAATCAATTTAATATAGATTTTGTGATTTTCACACTTTTAATTAAAATTATTTACATGAGCAATTTATACTATTGAACTTAATGTATTGGAGGCCAGATCACCTTTCAATTGATTTAGTGATTTATGCATGAACTTGAAAAAGAATTGCGAAAATTAGATCAATAATAATATAAATTGTGTGTTAGACTATGGATTAAGAGGTAATTAGCTCACATGTGGTAATGAAGGAAGAGAAGAGAGTTAGGAGCTCCCCCTCTTAAGTTAGAGGTTTCCATAAAATTTAATGCTTATTAATTTACTTAAAATTACATAGAGATATGATTAATTTGACAAGCAAGTTAAGGATTAACTTGACTTAAGAAAGCTAATTAATTAATTTAAGGAAATTTGCCATCACATGCAATAACACTCAACAATTTGGCATTTCAAAGTTTATATTGATTGATTATGGTGAAGTCAATGTCTTAATATCTCATATTTTGATTAGTTTTATTTTAATTGTTAGTCTCTTTTTGTTATTTTAATTAAAATTCTCACTTTTCGATTGTTCAAATAAATTTAAATTAATTATTTTTGTATTTAATTAGACACAATTCTCGTAGATTTGACACTCTTCTTATCATTTTACTACTTAGAACGACTATTACACTTGCTAAGTTGATTTTAGTGCATCAATGACATTTCTCTTCAACAGGTCTACTTTGCTTGGTATTCAGTCTTGTAGCAGTAGCCACACAAAAGTGCAGACTTGGTACCATTGGGTTCCAACATTGATTTAGAGTCCTTCCTTGAACTTTCTTCAGCCTCCTTGGATGTTAACATTGTTGTTCCGCATAAAAAATAAACAAAAAGAAAATAGACAAAGAATATCAAAAAATAATTAATTAAAGATGAAAATAAAAAATAGAAAGATGTCAC